CTTACCTTTCGAAAGAACCCTGCTTCCCCTTGGTGGCTGTGTGTGTACAATCTGTCCCCCGTACAGCATTGCAGTCCTGCATTATGTATTTCAAATTACGCTCGTAAATGGGGAGCCAGTGAGAAGTGCTTCTGCCTGCGATGACCAATGAGAAGCTCTGTGGTCAGTGTGGTCAGGTGACAGTGCTGACCAATGAATCCTCCATTTGCGAGGGTAATTTGAAATACCTAGGGCAGGGCTGCGATGTTGTGTGGTACAGTGTATGGAGCGTACACTGGGAACTGCAGAGGGGAAGCAGCATTCTTTCAAAGGAAAGAGCAGCGGGAGGGGGCAGATTGGTGGGGCTAATTCAGTTTTCCCATATTCACCTGGGCAAGTGGAATGACCCTTTAAGCAGCAGTTGCTACAAGTAAGGGTGAGCAATACAGATAATACAAATAAATACAATGTTGACAATGTAAAGTGTATATACTTGTATATCGAAAACCTATTGCAGAAATAACAACATTGTATAAAAGAGAAGTACAAGCTTACAAACCGATAATGAGATTATTATATTAACTTTCCTAACGTGTTAGAAGTGGATAAGTTATCCGTAGGTGTTCATATGGAGACCAACGTGTGTGTGTCTGTCTGTGTGTGTGTCCCCTTAACAGGAAATGATCATTAGACTTGAAAAGGGATTTCCTTTCAATATACAGTATAGGATTCTGTGTGCACCATGACAAATGTAGATCCTCCGAGGAAAGAGAACCTATCATCCTAGTAGTACTTGCTGAGTGTAGGGGAAGCGAGGAGGACACTTTGAAGTTGGGTGAGACATTTTCGGAATGCTCGGAGTGCTGTAATTTGATTTTACGGCTCTGGGTACACAATAGGAGCCTTGTAGAGGTGGGGGACCGGACAGCGCTGTCCAGCTGGAAACAGATGGCGACACATACATTTAACTGCCACACTCATTTTCCAGGTTGTTTTTCTCAATTCCCCCCAATTACGGACCGAAATGCAGATGGTCATGTCTGCTCCGAAAACAAGTACTTTGAACATGAAACTTAAAAAAAAAAATGGGTTTAACCTAATTATTTTTGATGTTATCTGAAAGTGTTCAGTCGTGTTTAACTCTTCGAGTTGCCGTGTTATTTCGGACAAGTGTGCAGTGATTATTGTGTGTTTTTTTTATGTTTAAGAATTAAATTTAAAGCTCAACACCACTTAAAACTAAAATGGCAAAATTGCATCGTCCGGGACTTGTTAAAATAACAAAATTCCGCTTTCGCTGTCAAGCCTGTGACTCGGTGCACAGGAAGCAGTGCGGAGCAAAGCGAAGCTGCGAGGTGCAGAGCTGAGCGCAGCCGGACGAAAGACTTCTTCAGGGCTGTTCCCCATAGTTCTCTTAAGGGTCACGGGAAGACACAAACTAGCGTCCTCCCGTCACCCTAAGCTCAGTATACCACGAGCTACAGCTCCCTATATACTGAGACGCCGCAGCCAAAACGGATCCCGACAATGTCTTCGCATGTTCTATGTTTAATATGTCTCGCCAAACCTAATGGGGCCCCCTTCCACCCCCAGGCCCCATAGCAGCCGCCTGGGCTACTATGGCTATAGTTACGCCACTGACCAAAGGGTAGAAGGCTAGTATGTATGCTGACAATTAAAAAAAAAAAAAATACTCTTATAAATTAGGTAAATTTAAAACATTACATTACATTATTATATATAAAAATACATTACAATATCACATTATTATATATGAAAATACATTACTACAATATTACATATATTTACCTTCTGATAGCAGTCAAGCTCTGTGCTACATCCTCCATATTACCAGACCAATTTTAGTGCCTTGCTGTTAATAGCCTGTGTTGTAAATTCTTAGCACAAACTTCGTCCCCTCTATCCCAACTGCATGCTTGGGGGGGGGGGGGGG